GGATCGTGGGGGAAGTGGGGGGTGTGGTGGTGGATCGGGCTAGGGTTCGAGGGTGGTGGGGGGTTATGCGGGGAGAGGTGGGCCGGCCGGGGTGGGCTGGCCGACTGGGCCGGCCGGTTGGCTAGCTGGGTCGGTTGGCCCGGGGGTTTGGGGGGTTTTTTTTCTTTTTTTTTGTTAGTTTGTTTTTCTATTTTATTTCTTTTCTTCTTTTCTGTTTTATTAAATTTCGGTGTTTATGAAAAACCCAAGTTGCACCTAAAATATTTTTAATACTTATGCCACTACCGCAATTAACTTGGCACCTAATATAAAATCATTTGTAATTGTTTATTATTTTATAATCATTTAACTAATTGTTTTGCTACTATTATATTCATTTTGAGTATTTACATATTTTATACAAGTGTGGTTTCTCCACCATAATTACCTACGCATTATTTGGCACAACCAGAACATTTTAGTTTTATTATTTGAAAATTTTGTTGTTTGCCTATATTTTAAATTTGAATTTGAATCGTTTTGAACTAACACGAGTTTACCAACAGTAAACGAGGTGACGTGGCATCATTAGCAGAGGTTCACTGTAGCTTAAATGTCCGGGCGTCACATGTCAAGCAGCCTCTATGGCGTGGGTCAAGCAGTGATGTAGCAAACAATAGAGTTATGATAAAGAGATGGGTGAAGGGGATATCTCTCCTTTTATATACCTTCCTGCTGGCGGAATTCTCAAGTATGATCGGGAAGAATTCGAAACCTTCCAAGTCGGACTCCGACATGACAGAGCGCATCCGGCAGTGGCGGCCTCCCCCCATTTCTGATAAGCAGCAGAAGAGACCAATTACTACCCTTACAACATTATCATACAACATTACAGCAACAGAAGTTTTGAGCAAAAGAGAATCAACTACACCAAGTTATCATTTCACATTCAAAAATCAATGCACTTGTGGACATTTATGATGGCAAGAACTATAATTCAAAAAGCAAAGCAAGATAAACAATCACTTAGTTAGATGTGTTTGCCAGGGCCTCAATTTGGAATACTAGTATAAATGGCAATGGCCTCAATTTGCTACTACTCTATCTTGGCAATGAGTAGAAGAAGAACATCAACATCAACATCAACAACACCCTTCGAATAACATCAACATCAAGAACACCCTTGAATAGTAGTAAGAAAACACAAACATTTATGATGGCAAAAACATCAACAGCATTATGTTTTCTACTTCTACTCATTCCAGGGCCTCAACAGTAGATAAGAAACCTAATCTATCTACTTTACCTAATTTGAACCATATCATATTTTGCTACTACCTACTTCCCTTTTGTCAGATCTCTGTTTAAAGCATGCACCAAGTACTAAACCTAAGACTCTAGTTTTAAAGCATGCACCAACTACTGAACCTAGTTTTAAAGCATGGTTCACTTCATAAAATAGAAAGGAAAACAATTAGTACAGAGCATAGTAATCTAACAAAGTACCCTAATCAATATTGCATCCACATAAAACTGAACCTAAGACTGAAGAAATTGAACCTAAGACTGAACCCAACACTTAAGGACTGAACCTAAGACTGAAGAAATCGAAAAATAGAGCATAGTAATCTAACAACGTACCCTAATCAATATTGCATCCACCAAGAACAATATGCCTAATACTAGAACAACTAGAACAATATTGCCCGGCTTATTCCCTCGCTCAAGACAAGTTACGAAAATAAGGAAGATTATCTGGAATGGTGACTGACGAAGAACATGAAAACAACGATGTCGCAACTGAACCAAACCACACTAAAGAGGGGTTATGACCGACTTATTATATCTGTCGCATCTCCAGCGCCAGCTACACTTGGTTTAGTTGCGACAACTATGGAAATAAGCTTCTCCCAGCGATAGTAGACTTTAGTTCCTCTTTTCTTCTTTTTCTATTTTCTTTTTTCTTCTTATTTTTTCTATGTTTTCTCCTCCTAGTCCTTTTAGGTCTTCTTTCTTTCTTTTCTTTTCTTGTTCTTGGGCTTATCTAACTAAGTAGTTAACCTAAAGAAACTAACTAAGTAATTAACCTAAAAATAACTAAGTAAGTAATTAACCTATGTACAGTAGGGTAAAACAAGTAACTAATTAACCTAAAAAACTAACTAACTCATTAACCTAAATCAAAAAATAGCAACAAAAAAAGACAAAAAAGGAAAAAGAAGCCTCACCAGGGGGCGGAATGGCGCCGGACGGCAGGGGGCGGAGCGCGACGGGCGGCGGGCGGCCTGAGCGGCGGGGCGGCGGCGGGTCGGGGGCCTCGGGGGCGCGGAGCGGAGCG